AATGATGCTACTGCCACAACTTATATTCAACAAAAAACAAACCTACCCAAGAGAAACAAACAAAATGCCTCCTCACGGCAGGCTTCTTACTTACCCACCAAAGAAAGATGAAGCTAAACTTAGGTAGTCTTTGCTAGTCTGACATTAGATGGGCCATAACCTCTCTACAAGGGTGAAGTGGGTCAAGGGAAGGAAGTGTGCTTGGGGAAAATCCTTCCAGATAGAAACCAAGATCAAAGAACAAGGTTCTCCTCTAACAATGTTCAAGGCCCTTTAAAGGAAATTACAAAATATCATCAGAAGGCGTAAAAGAAATCCTGAATAAATGGACTACATTCCTGAATGAGAAGACTACGTATCTTCCCATTCTACACGAAGATGCCGATTCTTCAGAAACTCTCCACAGTTCTTTAAATCTGATGACTTCAGATAAAACGTGACATGCTGATCCAAGAAAAAAAATATGTATGTGAGAGAAAAGGCTAAAAAAAGCTAAAGTCCATTTGACAGCAAAGAACAAGGGGCCAGGGCATAGTGGCTCACACCTGTAATCCCAGCACATTGGGAGGCTGAGACAGGAGGATTCCTTGAGCTCAGGAGTTCAAGACCAGCCTGGGCAACATAGCAAGACCCCATCTCAAAAAAATTATCAGTGAAACTTTAAAAAAGGGAACAACCTAGAATATAGAAATAACTCAAAATTCAACCATGAAAGGACAGATAATCCAAGTAAATAATGGGAAACACTTGAACAGGCATTTCACAGAAGACCTACAGACAGCATGTGAGCATGTGAAGGGACTTTAGGCTTCCTTACCTGTGAGGAAAAGGCATGTTGGAACCACAATGGGATATTTCTGCACACCTGTGGCAGTGACTTCTTAAAAAATATGGTGGCAACCCACTCGTTGACGAGGCTGTGGAAAAACTGGCTCACTCATACCCTGGCATATCCCACGCTCTGTGTTTTTGCCATCCCCACGTGCTAAGGGGGCCTCTCCTTGCCATTTTGTACATTTCCCTGATGACTAGTGAGGTTTGGCATCTCTCGTGTCAAGGGCCATTTTGCTTTTTGTCTTTAGTAAAATGCCTTCCATCCATTTTCTTGTTAGGTCATCCATCTCTTTCTCCTTGATTTGTAGGATTTTTGTTTGTTTTTACTAAACACTGGATGAGTCCTTATCTTTTCCCACTCTGTGAGTTGCCTTTTTACTCCTATGTGTGTATTTTTAAAAAACAACCAGAAAAGGCTGTTCTCACAAGCTTGTACATTCATAGAGTATCTCCGAAGGACACACAAGAAACTGGGACTGCGGGCTGCTCCCGAGGAGGGAAGTGAAGCACGTGGGACGTGTGGGAGATACACTTTTCTCTGTGTTCTTTTGCATACTTTTTTTTCGCAAATCATCATGTGCACATGCGTATGTCTTACACTTTGAGACAAAGGAAAGGCACCCAGCAGCCATAATTAAGTAGGTGCTAACTTTTTCTCTAATTGTATTTGCAATAGTTGTAGTGGCAAGGGAAAGGCTAAGTTTCCCTGCCCTGGCCAGTACCTTTAATCTTCTAGTCCTCTCAGTTCAGGGAACGCGTCCACTGGCTTCCTAACCGTGGAGCAGTAGCGTGGTAGCAACAAGAGCAACTTCTCCAGGCAGAAGACCTGGGTTGACAGCCAGCCCCTCCACCATCTCTTGTACAGACTCAGCAGAGTTACCCGGACTTTCTGTGCTTCTGGTGAGGAACACAGCAATTCCTACTGTGGTCAGCAGCCTCAACAGTGTCCCTCGATGGTCCCTGCCTCCTGTGGCAGAGATGATGACCTCATTTCCAAGATAGGGTGACAACAGACTGTGGCTTCCTTCCTAGCACACGTTCCCTTGTTCGCTTGCTGTGAAGGGAGTCAGGTCCCATGTTGCAAGCCACCCAGTGGAGAGTCCCACATAGCAAGAACTAACGTCTCCAGCCAGCAGCCAGTGAGGAAGTGAATCCTGCCAACGAATCCTAACAGCCAGTGAGTAAGCTGGGTAATGGATCCTGCCCCAGCCCAGCCTTAAGATGGCTCCATCCCAGGATCATCTTTGATTGCAGCCTGGCGGGAGACCCTGAGCCAGAAGGACCCAGCTAAGCCAGGCCCAGATTCCTGAGCCACAGGGACCTTGAGATGCTTTAAACCTACAGCAACAACAACACAACAGAACGACTAGGCAGTTTCTTTGCTGAAAAATGGATCGTCCAGCTGTCCAAAGCAAGGGGTCAGACCGACCAATGGATTATGTAGAACCCCTTCCAGTGCGGGGACACCATGAAGTTCTCAAAATAAAACAGTAAATCCTTGATATTTAAACCAAGTGTTCAAGGCAACTGGTGATTTGGTGGATTTAACTTCCTGGTTAACTAGACGAATCTCTCTGATGGGATCTCAGAGCTTCGTTGTACCTCACAGATCATTACACACATAAGGAAGCTGAAGCTGAGAATAATTACCTTCTGCAAGTCGTGAGGCTTTCTCATGGCAAACCCTCGCGCTGTGCCCGCCACGCAGGAGAAGCTCAATAAATAACTGTTCAAAGAAGGAAGGAAGGGAGAACAGGTGGCAGGGAGAAGGGAAGGGAGTCTTTGCCTCTCTATTGGTGAAACTTCTTAAATTCTTGGCTGCGGCTCAAGGAAAGCTTGGACTCGTAGTCAGGAGGCTTGAATTCAAGTTCCAGCCCCACACTTAGATGTGTAGCCTGGGCAACCCCTTAACCTCCTACTGCCCACCTTACACCTTACCTGCCCAGGTATAAAATGGGAAAAAAATATTTCCATGTCCTAGCATCTCAGTGAGATTCAAATGAGATTACACGTGGGAAAGCACATTCTACATTGTACACACATTTTGCTCTCCTTATTTCTAAAATGTGTTGTCCACTGCACTATCTTAAAAAACAAACTACAAAAACATCTGGACCAGGTGCAGTGGCTCATGCCAGTAATCCCAGCACTTTAGGAGGCCAAAGGGAGCAGATTGCTTGAGCCCAGGAGTTCAAGACCAGCTAGTGGCACATGCCTGTAGCCCCCGCTGCTCAGGAGGCTTAGATGAGAGGATTGATTGAGCCCTGGAGTTCAAGGCTGCAGTGAGCCGAGATCACACCACTGCACTCCAGCCTGGGCAACAGAGCAAGACCTTGTCTCAAAAAAAGAAAAAGAAAAAAAATAAAAACCCAGCACACAGGAGAGGATTGCTATTTGGAAAACTGGCTGCTTGGGGAAAAGAAATCTAACGGCATCTTCATCTAACACCATTGACTGACACAACTTTTAAAGATTTTCCAAGTCATGTGTAAATTACAGTACATGAACACTGTACATCTTAAGAAGAATAAGGCGAAGCTATGTGCGCTAGCATGAAAAGATCTCCAAAAGCTAGTGTCCCATGAAGAAAACCAAGCTGTTGAATGACATGTACTGTGTGCATGCATATTTTCTTATGGAAAAACAAATGCCACATACATGTCTCTACACAAAGCACACACACATATGCCTCAAATGGAAAGTCTGAAGAATTCATCCATCAGTTGTTAACAGTAGTTGTCTCCGGGAAAGGTGGGACAATTGTGTGTGAATGTTGTGTTTTTATTTCTCATGATGACTCACACACACACGTTTCTTAAAGTTTTTAATGTGTATAAATTAATTTCAAGTTTTGAAAACAAAAATATGTTAAACATATATAATAAAGCCATTAAAAGTTGTATATAAATACTTGATCTCCTCCACATGAGAAAGAAAAAACTTTGTAAGCATAAAAACAATGTGAAAAAAAATTATGAAATGAAATATTTCTCTGATCAGACAGAGTGGCTCATGCCTGTAATCCCAGCACTTTGGGAGGCCGAGGTGGGTGAATCACTTGAGGTCAGGAGTTCAAGATCAGTGTGGCCAACATGGTGAAACCCCATCTCTACTAAAAATACAAAAATTAGCTGGGCGTGGTGGTGCCCACCTGTAAGCAGGAGAATCACTTGAATCTGGGAGGCGGAGGTTGCAGTGAGCAAAGATCATGCCACTGCACTCCAGCTGGGTGACAGAGCAAGACTCCATCTCAAAAATAGAAAATATTTCTAGAATGAATTATAGTAATTGCCCTGATGTCAAAAAAAAAATTTTACAAGTAAAGGAAAACGCTTAGCCTGGTGTGGTGGTGCACTCGTGGTCTCAGCTACTTAGGAGGCTGAGATGGGAGGATCACTTGAGCCCACGAGGTTTAGGCTGCTGATGGGATCTTAGAGCTTCATTGTACCTCACAGATCCATGTTTGTGCCACTGCATTCCAGCCTGGGCAGCAGAGAAAGGCCTCATCTCTATTAAAATCAAAAGAATTAGCCGGGCATGTCTGTGGGTGTCTGTACTCCCAGCTAGTTGGGAGGCTGAGACGGAAAGAGCACTTGTGCCCAGGAGTTCGGGGCTGCAGTGAGCTCTGATTGCACCTCTACACTCCAACCTGGGTAGCAGGGTGATGTCCTCTCTCAAAAAGAAGAAAAAAAAAAACAGTTAGCAAAAACCGGAAAATAATTTAGCACCAAATATGACAAGGAAGCAAATCCTTTATATTCTAAAGGATTACCATGAAGAAAAACAACGCAAGCCCTGACCCATGAGCCCCAGACACCAGCGTGTCGCACACATTTGAAATGATCGTCCCATGTTCTCATTTTACCGACCAGAAACCGGACGTGAGGCTGGAGAGTCACATGCCCCAAGTAAACCAGCTGCACACCCTTAGCTCGCCTCCTGAGACCGGAGAGTAGAAACCAGCCTCTCACCGCCCACCCCCTCCGTCACCTCCCCTGAAATCCTCACACCCTGCGTCTTCCCTGGATCTTGGCAGAGCCCAAATTCCTATCCTGTTTGAAATTCTTTCTGCTATCTCAGATTTCTCTTTGGGGATGAATTGAGGTCTACCTCCAAAAAGGAGAAGTCCAGGTACTAAAAAAGAGTCTCCAGAGTTTGCCACATACCTGGTGGCCTCTGGATCCGTGGAAAGCTCAGTCCTTCTTACATTTTATCTCAGATGATTTCACTACCCTTCCAGCATCGCAGGGAGGACCCGCGGCGTGTCACCGGCTGCTCTCTCTTCCTCTAACTGGAAGGGGTGTCGGGGATTGCCTGGTTCAGCCCCAGAAGGAAACTGAAACTGGGAGGAGGGAAACAGCTTCTCCAAAGTCACATGGACAGGTGCTATCATTCCCAGCCACCCAAATGACAGGGCGCTGCCCGAAGACCCTGTGTTCATCCCAGAACGGCTGCATTGGACATGGATTTTGAGAGAGAATCAGTCTCTGAGGTTCTAGGTGATGCTTTTATTTCTGTGAGGCACTTTCCTGTGCCCACCCAGAGCACACGGCAGGGACTCTATGAGGAAGTATGAGCTCTCTCCCCAGGCCCGACACACAGCCTGGCAGCCCTGCTTCCCGTGGGCACCCCCACCCCTGCCCCAGCACTGACTGGGCATTGGAGGACTCCTAAAACACCCCAGCACCTCTCCTAACGTCACACAGAAGCGGGGAAGTCCTGCACCTAACAAGTCAAATCTGGTGGTGAGGCTGATTTGGGACAGGGTTAGATAGTTATTTTTAAAGAGAATATTAGATTAAAATGTACAGCTACAAGATCTTGTTGGCCACGCACAGTGGCTCATGCCTGTACTCCCAGCACTTTGGGAGGCTAAGGCCAGCGGATCACTTGAGATCAAGAGTTCAAGACCAGCCTGGCCAACATGGTGAAACCCCATCTCTACTAAAAATACAGAAATTTAGCCCAGCGTGGTGATGCATTTCTGTAATCCCAGATACTCAGGAGGGTGACGCAAGAGGCTTGCCTGAACCCAGAAGGCAGGGTTGCAGTGAGCTGAGGTCATACCACTGTACTCCAGCCTGGGCAACAGGGCAAGACTCCATCTAAAAAAAAAAATTTTTTTTTTAAATCGAATCATCCCTTCGGTTACTTATACTTACTTTAACATTCAAAAACATCAGGCTCCTAGCGAGGGTGTGGGAATTAAGTGTGGACAGATGATTAGTATGCCACCCTTGCCTCTGGAGCAGGTGATGACTCGTAAGAATGAAATGCTCAGTGTAGGGCAGGGAGGAAGCATGCATTAGAGCCAGACAGAACTAGACAGAGTTCTAGACAGTGCTCTGCTGCTTCCTAGAATAAGCCTTGAGCACATGATTAATCTCTCAGTATTTATCTGTGAAGTTAGCATAATAACGAAAATCTCTCCCGATCCTGCAAGGGGTCAACGGTGTAGCACCGTGCTTGGCATAACACAGTGTTGGGCACGTATCAGAAGTTAAGATTCCAGTCTCCAACCCTCTCCTTCAGTTTCTTCATCTCTAAAGTTTGTTACTGTGTTGGCTTTACCTACCTATGGCTATGGGCTGAATGTGTGTGTGGCCCCCAAATTCATACGCTGAAGCTGGAATCTCCAATGCGAGAGTATTTAGAGGTGGGGCTTTTGGGGGCTGGTCAGGTCATAGGGTTGGAGCCCTGATGAATGGAATTAGTGCCCTTATGAGAACAGACACAAGAGCACTCACTCTCTCTCGCACTCACTCTGTCACTGCCACTGGAAGAGACAGTGAGAAAAAGCCACCTGCCAACCAGGAAGGGAACCCTTGCCAGACCCTGGATCTGCCCACTCCTTAATCTCAGAATTCCCCACCTCCCGTCTTCAGAACAAAATTGAAACCACCCAGCCTGTTAAGAAGCCCAACCCAAGACATTATCTCACAGACTCCGAAGAGCACCTTACAAATGCATTTCCTCCTAAGGACTGTCACGTTCCTGATTGAAATAATTCATTCTCTTTCTTAAGGCGATGGATAGGACTGGGAATGTGAGTGGACTCTGTAAGGATGAATGATACACCTTTGCTTAGATCTGGAATATGCTGGAAAATGTTAAGTCAAAGACCAAGTCCTCCTTTGCAGATGTAGCAAGCTGACCCTAGGGCCAAATCTGTTTCCCGCCTGCCTGTTTTTCTCTTACCCTGGGACGCCGCCATGCTTGTTCACGTATGCATTCCCTAGGGCTGCCTGTGCACTGAAACCCCAAACTGAATAGTTGTGACAGAGCCCGTGTGGCCGGCAAAGCCTCCGGTATTGACTACTCGGCCCTCTCCAGAAAAAGTTTGCAACCCCTGATTTATTGAATAAATTTGAGTCTTCTATAATAAGCGTCCATAAATCTGAGACCGAATGCTGGAAATTGAACCTTTTTTTTTTTTTTTTTTTGAGACAGAGTGTTGCTCTGTTGCCCAGGCTGGAGTGCAGTGGCGCGATCTTGGCTCACTGCAACCTCTGCCTCCCAGGTTCAAGCAATTCTCCTGCCTCAGCCTCCTGAGGAGCTGGGACTACAGGCATGTGCCACCACACCCAGCTAATTTTTTGTATTTTTAGTAGAGACAGGGTTTCACCTTGTTAGCCAGGATGGTCTTGATCTCCTGACCTCATGATTCCCTCGCCTCGGCCTCCGAAAATGCTGGGATTACAGGCGTGAGCCACCTCGCCTGGCCAAACTTTTTAACTCTAGGGTCAGCTAAGGCTTACGAAGCCCAGTGGTTGGAAATTAAGACCCAAATGAATCTGAAGGCTAGGAACAAGAGGCTTCTGCCTCATCACTATGCAGTTCTGAAGCAAAGTGTAGATGAAAATAAGGCTTGAAAAGAAAAAACAGCAAAAAAATAAAAATGAATTTTTAAAACGCGAGGCAGCAAAATGGAATCCACCCAGGACCAACCTGAGAGTCAGCTGTGCTGTAGTGCCCCGTCTACCACCAATGAGGTGTGCGATGGGGGGGCAATCGCTTCATTTCCCAGGGGCGGTTACGTGGTTTGTAAAATGAGGGGCTCACTCATCCACCAAACATTTCTGGAACTCCTCCTGGGGGGAACTTGCCGTCTTAGACACGGTCGTCTGGACCTGCTAATCTCTAAGATGCCTTTCCAGCTTTAGAGCTCAACGCAAAGAGTTCGGTGATACTGCAGCTTTGCGGAGTGGCAACGCGAGGCAGGAGTTAACATGTACACACAGCTTTTGGTTCTGCGGCGTTTTAATGCCATTCACCACGGTAGTAATTTATCGCCATCTCTTCTTTCCAGGTAGATAGCGTATCCGTGTAAGTCGTCCATCGAGCAAGCTTCTCCCATCTGCGAGGGAGGAGGCAGCCCCCGGACAGCTGTGGACGGGACCTTCAACTTGAATTATGTAACAGTAGCAGGGGACGGGCAGATTGGCCTTCTGAATTATGCTCCCTCAGACTGGCATGTACATGAGTTTACAGACCCTAAACGCTCACCAGCAGACACAGCGAGGATGGCGTTATCCCTGGAGTAATTAATCCACGTAGCAAAGGGATCTCGAAGGTGCTGCCAACAATCCTGGGATAATTGAGATCTTACAGCAAATAAAGCAGAATCAGGACCGCTCTCAGTACCCCAAAGTCCCAAAGTGAGAACCACCTTCCAAAAACTCAGACTCCAAAGCCTGTTAATCCCCTTTTGTGGTAAGCCCGTCCTCCTGGACCGCATGCCCTGGTCTCCTCCCCCATAATACCCATTCAGGGCAATGACCCCAGTTGGCAACCCGGAGCCGCGTGGGCTGCGGTCAGCAACACCCAGATGAAACTGCAGCTGACGGCCTGGCCTTTCGGGTCAGTAGCTGCTGTGCGCAGCTCTCTCCCTGCCTCCCGAAGTTCAAATGCCATCCTGATTTCTATCTGGAAGCGTCCCAGCCATAACATGGAACAAAAGTTCCCTCTGACAAACCCATTTCGGTTCCAAAGTATGTTTTTATGTTTGTTGGCAAATAGAACTGTCGCCAGCAACAATAACAACACTGTTTTCCCTCGACTGAAGCTACTTCATTTCTTCACGTTTGTTCCAGGGCTGGAACTGGACAGATGAATAATGTAGGCCAGGCGGCTGGCCCACGTCCTGACCTCGTGCCTCCGAAAGCAAACACAGAGGTGAAAATGGACACTTGTTTGTTTGAACTCTCACTGCCTAATTTAGAAAAGAAAAGGAAAAAAGAAAAACAAACCTCCCACCATCCTATTTCATCAGTGTAGACACTGATGGGTTTTGTTTTGTTTTTCTTTTCTTCTTCTTCTTTTTTTTTATTTTTATTTTTTAAATTTATTTATTTTTTTTCTCTCGTTTCCTACTTTTTGAAACATGGAACTACAGCCCTCTACTGGTGCAAGGGATGAAGCCAGTTTCTCCATCATCGAGGCTACCCTGCCATCTTGTGGCCGTGTGCGGGATGCACACGTGGAGATCAATTTCTCGGCCTCGTAAAGCACAGGGCTGGGTAAGACGTTTGAAGGGTTCTTCCAAGTATTTATGCGGGCTTTCTTTCTTTTTTTTTTTTTTTAATTTTTTATTGCATTTTAGGTTTGGGGGTACATGTGCAGAACATGCAAGACAGTTGCATAAGTACCCACATGGCAGTGTGTTTTGCTTCCTTTCTCCCCTTCACCCACATTTGGCATTTCTCCCCAGGCTATCCCTCCCCGGCTCCCCCCTCCCCCGCTGGCCCTCCCCTTTTCCCCCCAATAGTCCCCAGTGTTTAGTACTCCCCTCCCTGTGTCCATGTGTTCTCATTTAAGACATTTCAGGAAAACATCTTGTATCGTTTGGGGGAAACATCGATGGGGTTTGGAGTCAGAATGTTGGTTCCGCGTTTAAGTTCTATCGATGATTTGTGACATCATCCTTGAGCAAATCATTTCATCTTTAAGAACCTGTTTTCTCGTCTGTATAATGGCGGTCGTAATAAATGTTCGATTCTTGGAGTTTTATAGTGTTTACATAAGAGCATGCATATGAAGAGTGCCTTGTCCACGTTAAGGTTATATACACATAAATAAATTAAAAATCTCTAGAGTGGTAGATACTTGGTAAAACTTTAGAAACTCAAAATCTGTTTTAATAACTAAACTTGCTATCAGAGAAACCCCTGGACTCAGAATAAAGAGAGGGACTTCAGACTGTCTTATGTTTTCCTAAAGATACATATTGCTGGCCGAGGGCGGTGGCTCTCGCCTGTAATCCCAACACTTTGGGAGACCGAGGCAGGTAGATCACAAGGTCAGGAGTTCAAGAGCAGCCTGACCAACCT